ACCGGACCGGTAGTAATTATAATGTCAATTTGTTGATTATGATTACATTTGCTAATGACTATTTTTCGACTGACGGTGGTTGTTGCCTGTCGCACATTTGCGTAATTTATAATGTATATCTATTATTTGTATATCAATATATTAGGGGGGACATTTTGAGCATATCTGCGTAGTATATAGAATTACTGCCCTGCACAGAACCATTTCTAGCTAATGTAACCACAGCTCTCTATGACCACAGATTAACTCCACAGAAACAAAAACAAATCTGTACACTTGATTCAGATATAAAAAAGACTTAACACTCTAATGGGACTCTACAAAACTGAATTACAGAATGTATGGCTACTCCAGTAAATATTACACATTCATAAAGTTGGGGGACTCACAATGAACCGATCTAAAATTGAAGCACAAGTATCCAAGATATCCTGACTTTCCTAGAGGTCAAGTTTCAAAAACTATAATGATGTAAATTTTTGTAACACTGTTTGTTAGATCCGACCATTATAAGTGAGGCTATCAATGAGTTCTACGTCAAACTAGATCTGGAAAATAAGGAAAAGGTTCAAACATGTATATTATTTAAATAGCATCTGAATAGCATGGTGTTAAAATGAATACATGTGGAAATGAATATGAACCAATTCCCATGGAAACTATGCGCTCATGACTGGGAGGGTTCAGCAACTTAAGAGTCCAGAGGCATGAGAACCATGAGGGCCACGCCATGCATGTAGGGCCAGATGGCAGTTCGGCTCATTTTCAACAGCAAATGGCTCAATTTACTTTTGGTTGGCTTGTGTTATGTGCTCGCTTGGCTCAGTGTGGGGAGTCCTCACCTCACGCCAACTGATCTACATGCACACAAGAATTTGCATTCTCAAATTCACTAACTTAGGATGCTGTTACCATTCCCTGGTGTCGCTTGTGCTATTTGTTTTCCACCAGAATCACATTTAAAGAACCGCTGGTTTCACTTTAAATATAGTGCCGTAACTCTACTGTAGCCATATCTTAAATATATGGCCGTTGAATTGTGTTGCTGTTGTATCAGTTGTATGAAAGTAGTTCAACCAAATAACCAACTGGCAAATAAAATGAGTTGCCATAGAGCTGTAAAAGTGACTCTACTATTGATAATAAACAGTAGGCAAAGGGCCTTTCTGGATGTTTTTCACTCCCAGCTGCATTTAATATTTCTAGTACTGATTTCCAGTTCTACCATGAAGGGTGGAATTAGCAGCAGATTTATAATTAGTGTGATGTTCAGCAAATATCTCTTTATTTTTAATAGCTGAGACTGAATATCAGGGTCAATCTGCCTCCTTTAAACTCTGCATCACTAACAAGTAGCTGACTTTCAGTTTGTTTCCCAATATGGAACAGTCTCCACAGCCGTAGGCTTCATGGTTTCTTTCCCACTGAACAACGGAGGATTACAAGATCCAGATTTAGATTCCAACTCCCTTTTTTCAGCCCACACGCGTGCCGTAACCAGATACTTTTCAGCCCAAGAGAGTGTCTCCCACCGGGCCTGCTGGGATCCAGACAGAGACTAATTCTTACAGTGTTTACCATCCAGTGATCCAGGTGTGTTCACATGCTGCCTGCTAAGAAACACATCACTGCCCCTGTTGTCACCCACGGGACTCCATGTGACCTGGGACAGCAGACTGGTTTCTGAGAAAAAGGCTTGCAAAGCCTCAGAAGACAAGCAGACCAGAATGGGTGGTGTTTTTGTAAAGATACACCTTCCAACGACGTTCACCGTGTGCCCTGCTTCGATTTAAAATTTCTGCTAAGAGTCAAATCAAAGCTGTGAATCTACAGTGTGTTTGTGCATTTGTATAGATTATTCTAACTGAATTTTCACAGATACATATGACTTGTGTTACACTGACCTTTTTAGACAACAATATTTATGAGGTCGGCAGCCTGCATTCATAACATGCTATTCACAGAAAGGATGCTTCGCAGCTCTTATTTTTAGGTCATGGAGTCACCAACCTACCTCCTACCTGCATCACGTGAGTCAGTTGGGTGTAAAGGAATGCATAGCTGGCTTTTTTGTAACACGTATAGCCCATTGATAAGCCTCAGTGACAAGTCACTATTAAAATTGTCATTCTTTTGGCTTCAGCTTCATGTGTCCTGAACTGTTTGTACATGAATACCTGGCCGTATAGGGCTGAGTGAGGTACTGAAGCAAAGTGATACAAATAGACAGCTGGTGGCACCAACTGACTAGACTGTCACCTGTGTTTTGTTTATAATAAGTAATAAATGTCAGCATTTGGTTGTCTGTGCTGTGTGATTTAAGTCTGGCTGTAATGAGGCCCTGATTTTATTCAAGCAAAATTGTACCTTGTTTTTATCTCATTTAAATGTCAGAATACACAAACACAGAAACCGGTTTCTGTGAATGAATGTTGAATGTGATATTGTGGCAGAGACTGATGTCCAAATAACTACATTTGTTTTTGATCCAATATGAAATAATATCCTGCCAGAATCTTCTTGTGACATTTAAAATGAAGTTATACAACTAAATCAAGTTTTCTTTATCATCACACATCCCGGCAGGTAGAATTAATCTCAGTACAGATGTAATGGCTGTAACAATACACCATATACAACATTAGTGCAAATAAAAAGGACATAAGAGCAAAAAGAAATGACCGGTTGAGGTGTTCTGTCCTACTTCCTAGTGATATGTAAGATGATGAGCTGGGTGGAGAGTGTCATCTGTCATACATATACAATGTTTTGCAAGCTATCCATGGCACTTGGTGGATATTATATATTTATAAGTTTATTCCTGCACTTCTTGGTCTGAATAAACTTAAATATATAGACTTTCTTTTAGGCCAATGAAAAATGCAGAATGTTAGTCCCCGTAGTCTAAATAGAGCTTAGCAAACAGATCTAAATCCTTTAGATATTCATGTTAGGAGATCAAATTTATTGACAATATAATTCCCCTTTCTCTCTCTCTCTCCCACTTTCCTGTCAAACTTGACCTGTCCTATCTAATAAAGGCAAGGTGTAAAAAAACTTCGGCCGGACACCAAAACCCTGGCTACAGCCCTGAATACCCAATGATGTGAAATATCTCAATGATTGTTATATTTGATGTCTCTGCCGATGTTCTGTACACCTGAACTCTGACTCCTGGGTAATTTTGACAGATCATAACATGCACCCTAAAGGGCTTGGAGGGAGGGGAATGGCAGCCTGGGACTATGTATAGAAAGAAGCAAAGAGCACGCCCAACACAGGACTGTAACAAACATTTCACACTAGCTTTGGTTCTCTTTTCTTCTGGTGAGGAGGTCTCTGTGGAGAGGAGCGAGGGAAGATGGAAGAAGTATCACCATTGCTCAGGGACGCCCCTGCACCCCCTCAACACCATATAAGAGACTGTGAAACCTGATAGCTGCTTCTAAAAGTCTCTTCCTCAAGCTGTGAACATTCAGATACTCTCACTTCAATTTGTCTAGACATTAGCTCTAAGCCTCTTTCCCCTGTCCCCACTGTTTAGAGACCAGTAGTGCAGGGAGGTGATGAATAATTAATTGCTTTGGCATTCAGAGCTGAGGTCAACTCTTACCATGAAAATAAATTAATTAATAATTTCCTGCAGGCATAATCTGAGTCATATGAGCTCCCTCCTCTGGAAATATGCTAACATCTTTTGTGTTTGTTATGAAGGTGTAGATTGGTGAGCAGATGCCCTTAAAGTGATGAATTATATGAATAAAGTATGCAGCAAAGCATTAGAATGGCTGCAAATTAGAGAGGAGATCAAGTTCTGGAGCAAGGTCAAACCTTAAGTGGTTGGAGTTGTGGTGAGAAAAAAAAACCTGAGGATGGCAGCTACGCTATTTCCTCTGTTACATTGGCACCATCTGTGAAATGCCCAAGTCCTCTTCCAAAAGTTTTGGGAACCAGTTATAGCCAGCTCTGCCCATCTTAGAAGTCTGTCTGGGGACAACTGGTGCCACCAGCGCAATGTTACAGCATCATTCAGTGATCAAATTATTATTCTTTCTGTTAGTCTTTGGAGATCAACAGGGTTGATATGATTTCTGCTCTATGTGCATCAGTCTTATTTGAGAAGTTGTCATTTTTTTTGCACATTGTCAGTGGGGTTCAGTGTCGTAAATAGCCGCCTTTCTGGCAACCATGTGACTTTTCAGTGGCATTTGAGGGGAGAGGTTACATTTTAGTGGCCTTTCCCCCTCAGCTGGTCCTGACTACACTCTCACACACAACCTCCTCAGTGGGCGACTTTTATTGGTGTATCTGGTTATGATGCAAAGGGCGAGTGTCACATGACACATAACAGGTCAATGGGGAACACGAGAAAGAACGTGGACGAACGGAGAAAAAACACTCTAGAGACATTACTTAAAGCTCTCCTGTTTCTTCTAAGAGTAAAGACTATGTAATAGACGTGTTTTTGAAATCAATTTCTAAGGTGTCAGGTCTAACTTTACATTATATCATATATCAGGTGTGATGCAAGCAAACAAATCAACAACACATGCCAGAATGAAATCATGTGCTATTACTGTTAGCTGTTGTTTATTTGTCCTGCAATACATCTCTCTCATTAATAGCACCAAAACAATGTGATTCACAGAAAACTGACGCATATAACTGCTTGTAACAGCCCAAAAATAGGGAAATAACTGTGCCCTAAGCCTCCTATACATCTGAGGTATAGTCTCCCGGTTCTGGGAATATCTAACTCTGATAATAATCATAGTTGTTTAGATGTTTATGTGGGAAGAGGTATGTCTCAACCACGCAAGACTGAAAGGGAACATTTTGGTTGTCAACATTTTTTATGATCTAGGGGTGTGTGCAGTGTCAGTGGGCATGTGACCCCACAGTGGGAGGAGCCGGACAAGGGCCACTCATTTCTAAGCTGAAGTCACTGGATATTAGGCCCTAAAATAGCCCTACAGAGGGTATATAGGGGTCCTCTCCCATTTGCCCCACCAGACAACGGTTCTGTGCAACAGCAAACACACTGTGTAAAAAATTATTTGACATTCAGATTGGAGAGATTCACAGCAGGCAGGAAAAAGAGGACCTTACAAGCTAAAAGGAGACTGGAACATAGTGAAGGACTTGAGAAGTGCTTGTATTATACTGTAACAGCAGAAGATACTCCAGCTGGAAACTAAAAGGATAATAAGCAAGCAAGGAGAGTGGAAAAAGGACACACGGTGAAGGATACTGCTCTTCTATTGGATTGGTGCTTTCTCTTGGATTTCTCACTTCTCTCCTCCTGGGCTGACAGCATAGGGGGAGGGAGATCCACCGCAGGGATGAAGTACAACTACCATATACCAGTGTCAACATACACACGCAGTTCACAGTACACCCCAACATACCACACACCTACCTATTACACCCCTACACATTACACACCAACGCAGTACACATCCACATATGCCTCTACAGCGAAGTACACCCCGACACAGTACAGCTCGGCACTTTACACCCCGTCACATTACACGACCTCTTACAAGGCTGCGTCAACATACGTCCCTTCGTACAGCAAAGGCTCACGGTACAGTTCAACACAGCGCACACAAGCACAGGAACGTCCTGCACCTGTAATACCTGTCACACCTGCAAAGAGGACTGTGCACTTCCCCAATGACATCATCTTCCAGGATATTGTGAGACGAGGAGATATGGAGCAAATCGGTCGGTTCTTGAGAGCGAGGAAGGTTCGTGTGGATACTCTCTTCCACTCAGGTAAGTTTCCACAGCTTGAACAGGGATTCATAACTTTAGACTTTAAAATCTGATGTGAAATAAGAAAAAACTGTTCAGATGTCACTCACTGACTGGAATTGATAGCATGGCTGTGTGTAGCAGTGCTGCTGCAGAGGACTGATGTAGTCTTGTGTGCAGGTATGGCAGCACTACATGAAGCTGTGCTCACAGGAAACCTGGAGGTGGTGAAGTTGCTAGTGAAACATGGCGCCGATGTTCATCAGAGAGACGAAGATGGCTGGACGCCACTTCACATGGCCTGCAGTGACGGCTATCCAGAAATTGCCAGGTGACACATGACTTTTTAACCTTTTAGTCTTGACTGATCATGCTTGCTTTTAAAGCACACAAAAGAAATATTTAACCTACAAAATACAAGTATTTAATTTTACTATAGAACAAGTAAAGCCACACAAATGTGAAAATGCAATTTTGCACATTTTTTATGAAATATTAAAGCTCCAAATCTCCCTAAAAGAGTAAGTACGTTAACCAATGACCTTACAAAGACTTTAGAGCTTGGCTCTAAACAATGAAACATGAAATGGTGACATAATTAAACCATTACAACACAAAACATGGTATTCAGCAGGAAATAAACCCAGGGATTAAAAGAAGGAAAACACTGGATAAGAAAGAATTTACAATATCAGAATATCATTAGGAGGGATGTTTCGTGTTGAATTATATCCACAAGGAGAAATGAACTGATCCATAATACATACACATTAACTAATACCACTGAATTTTGATAGCTCCCCTTATTCTGAGGTCTCTGAGCTGAGACAGTTAAAAAATGAAAAAAGGATCAGTAAAGTTAAACTAGGCCATATTTTCTTTATATCTGAGAACTTCTGTTTAACAATGACCTGCTTCATTCTTCACTCAGATATCTGCTGGCGATGGGAGCGAGCACAGAGGCAGAGAACGAAAGTGGAGAAAAGCCCGTAGACCTCATCGATCCAGACTGCAAAGACCTGGTCAAAATGTTTGAGGCTGGCTGTGTGTGATTGGGCGTCAAATGAACCCAAAAGAAAAGAGAAGAGAAAAACATATTTAACAGTGTACAATACCAAACAAACTTGTTAGAGGGTGGAAGAACATAGCCAGAGATTGGGCCGTGTCTCTGATCCTGTAAAGCAAGTTGGTGGTTCTTCTGTTTGTTAGTTTCAAAGGTGCAGCACAAATTGCTATGACTTTATTATTTTTTAATTACTGTATAACCTTAAAGTAATGTTCAATTAACCTGTATTTATCTGTCTGGTGGTTTTTGTTTCATTTTATTTTACTTCATTTTGTGTATTTGTCATACTACCAGTGTCTCTGCTGCAAATGTCAATCAAATATTATCTCCCCGTCTTCACTCTCAGATTATGTAATACAATACCAGCAATGTGTCACTGAATCGAAACGTCATCTTTACTTGTTCTAAATATCCATTCATTTCTGAAGAAAAACAGATTAATTTCTATCCTCATGAGCATTACAGTTGAAGTATTTTCACTTGTGTTAGTGTCCCTTTTCAAGTCGCTGGTTGCACTCAGCACACTGTAATTACACTATATAATGAATTCACAACACAGAATTTGGGCTGAGATGTTTGTGTTTTATAAAGAGAGTTGTGTATCCTCACTGCTGGGCAGGAAGAGGATCAGCCAAATTAATAACTGATACTTCACTGATGGTCAGAAATCAAAAAACATAAAGTTCATGCTGTACAAGCACTTTTATTACTGCAGTATTGTTCCCTAATGTATTGCTGTTGTTTTCTGTAGTAGAAAAACGAATATCCGCAATGAAAGTCTTATAATTTTCTCTTCAATAATTATTTTTGTACGTTTTCATAAATAAAAAGACCTTTTATAAATATGACTGACTTGCTGTTGTGTGCTCTGTTTAAGAAAATACTGGCACTTTGACCACCATCACTTGAAGCTGCAGCTCTTCAGCCATCCTCTGTGTGTACAGCACTATGATAAAAGATGACCTGTATATATGACCTAACCTCAACTTTAGTCAGGCATTGTGATAGTACATTTGAATGAAAGGAAATATATCGTAATACAGAGATTATTATTATTATTATTATTATTATGATTATGAATGTTGTCATATATCTTAGTGACAGTGCTTGTTGTTATTGGCTGTAATATCATACATACTACAGTAGTGAGAGTTCTTTCACTTCCGTGTCTCTTCCCGGAAATGATTGGTTGGCATTGGCAACGTTTTAGCCAGGTCTAACGGCGTACACAGTCTGAGAGAAAAGAAATCCAAAGGAAGAGCCGTAAAAAAAGGTTTGTTGAATACCTTAACAGTGTGCCCTTTACTGAACATGTTGAAAATGTTCTAAGTACGCTAAGTGTCTTTCTAATAAATATTTGGGGCCAGTAACGCCCGCAGAATATTAGCTGGTTGAAGCTAACGTTACGACAAGACAATGTAAATCGGCTAGCTAGCTAGCTAGCTGGCTAAAGTTAGCTGAAATTATTGTGTCAGCAAATCTATAGTTAGCTGTCCCTCGGGACACAGCTATAGGGGACACGGATCCGAAAAAGCCGAAACTATTTTAGAGACAATACATAGTCCTATTGCTGACAGTGTGAGCAGTGGTTACCGTTGTTGGTTTGGGCTCTGTAGCCTTCTGCTAACACCAACTACTGAAGTAAAAACGTAAACAAAAGCTCCTCGGCTAGCTAACGTCAGTATCTGATCACTTCTCCTGGACACACGGTGTACCGTAGCTATACAGAGATTAGTTAACAATAGCAACAATGAGTTAATAACACATCGTATTGCTACTGATGTTACTCGAATATCAGAGGTCTTCAGACGACACAGTTTATTGTAAGTGACTGGTTAGTAGCTAGTATATTGAACTCTGTGGGTTAGCCAGCAGTGTCACTAGTTTACTGATTCGGATAGTTAGCTTTGGTGTAAATGTAGGTCTGCGTTATGTCATTTCGAAAGTGACTTCTTAGTAAAAGTGGGGGTGCTATAGTTGACACTGTTGTTTATTGTTAGAATTCAGCCGAGGACTTCTCAACCTTTGTATTCTTCAAATCCACTCACCATAGAGGAGCGAGGAGCGAGTACAGACTGCAAACAGAATGACCAGGTCTGTACCAAGTTAAAGCACTTAAGTGCTACTGCACAAGTACAAATGGGCCAGTGTTGACAGTGATCATTCAAATGTAATCAAATGTAATCTGCTTTAGGCTTTAGACACAGAGTAATGTTATGTGAAGTTCACAGTAAACAATGATTAAAAGGCTTGTTAATGTTGCTGCTAATTCTGCTGTTTTCATATTTGTGAAGCTCATCTGCTCCCAGGATGGTGAATAGTTACAAGCGGACTTCAAGCCCCCGATCCCCTACTAACAGTGGGGAGCTTTTCACCCCAGCACATGAAGAAAATGTGCGCTTTATACATGATAGTGAGTATACCCTCCGACATTGACGTGTTTAATTTTCCTCTAGAATAATCTAAGCATTTTATTTTACTTGTGATCAGAATGATAGACCTCTCAGAACTACAATTGTGTTGTGTTGTGTTAACAGCTTTGGTCCAAGTTTATTTCCTGTAGGCTTTTGACAGCAAAAATAGCAACAAGAACATAAACTTAGAGCTGTGTAGATATTTTATGTTTGAATCTCTGAACTTCCTTTCTTCTTAATGCACATGCTTTCCTTATTTCATTTAAGTGGCAACTTAAGTCTGTTGCGGGTGACTCGCCTTCTCCTGTTCCATATCAACAAAAATAGTATATTACGGCACAATACCTAATACACCGAATAAAAAAAGTCTGACTGTGGTGTGGTTTTATATTCTGTATATTGTACAAGTCAGAACTCTTAATTCTGATCACTTAATGTGTAGCATGTAAACACAATCCTTATAATTTTGTTCATTTCACGTGTAAACACTTAACACACAGTTAAATTTGGATGTGTAATTGCAGCACATATTGCTTAAATATAAAGGTACAGTGATTTTTTTCAAAAAGCCATATCATATATTTAAGAATGGTTGATGCCATGAACTTAACGGACACCTTTGGTTATTTGTGTCATCACTAGTAGTATGTATTAACGTGTGCATCTGTTACATTAATAAATAAGGTTATAAAGAGTTCGGTCTAGACCTGCTCTATTTGTGTCCTGAGATAACTTCTGTTATGAATTGGCGCTATACAAATAAAATTGAATTGAATTTTGCCTGTCAGTCAGCCTTCTCTCTCTGCGATGCCAGGGGCCAGACTAAACAGTCTCTTGTTCTCAACACTGCCACTCAGTGATGAAACTATTTTGCTTGTTTGCAAAGCCGAGGTAGCCACACCGTTGACACCGTTTATTTTGTGGGTTTCAAAGTTACCCTGTGGAGTTATTCACCAAAACTCATTGTGGGTAACCTTGAGGTGTAACAAACATGTCAAATACGTTTCCTTCCTCAAAAAACATTTGTATCTTGGCATGTTACTACCACCTGTAGATCAGTGGAATAACCTGAAACCCTTATCAGGACTATGTGTGCTCAACAAAACAAAACAGGGACCCACTCAGAAATATAATCCATATAGCTACTAGAGGTCAAAAACTCCCAAAAAGTCCTGAGAATAGTAGTATTAGTGAGGTTAATAAAAAAAATGTCTTCTTAAATGTTGGGTGCTGTGGTGTTTTGCCCTGTTAAAGAGAGTTAGTTGTGGGTTATTAACTGATGTATTATTAAGTTACAACAGTTAAATGGGCTCCCCTCTCAATACAAGCTACACAGCTTGCCCCGACTGTAGCGTTTTTCACGGCAAAAACAATATTGCTGCCTTTTAAAGAGTTACAGCAGGCGTGTCAACTGTTCACCGGTATGGCGGTATATCAAAAATTAATTTACAGGAAATTAAAACCAGTATACCAGTTCATCCAGTGCATCGCCCAGCTCTACATCAGATTGCTTTTCAGTTTAACCATCGTCATTAAAAGTATAATTAGACAACTTCACTTAGCTTTCTAACTCACAGTACAAGAACTGGCACTGAAGCACTTCCTAAGTTGAAGTTGTGACATTGATTACCTTCATTAAGTTGAGCTTCTTTACCTTCAGTCTGTTTGTTATGGCATTGCTAACAAGTGTACAGGATCGGATAAGGTTTCCAAAATGTAATAAAAGAATTGTTGTCTTGACTCTTTCACAGCCTGGCAGTGTGTGCTTAGAGATATCAGATCAACACAAAATAGTGAACGTAATGACCGTGGACCACAGGAGTATGTGGAGAAGAACCCAAATCCTAACCTACATTGTAAGTTACACTAGTGGATTGTATTTGTATGTCACACTATAGGATTCATTTAATCAAGCACGGGGCAGTTAACTTATTTCTGTCTACCTTTACAGCTTTCACACCAGTGGACCTGAGTGACCTCAAGAAACGCAACACACAGGACTCCAAGAAGTCCTAGTCTTTCTCATGATGGTCCAATCGCTTTTTTTCCACCCATTATCCTCAAGAACTTTTCCTCCATCAGCCAGAAAGTCAGCCCTGTTGGCCCTTCTAGCACCGAATGCCAGTCTCGCTTCTCGCTCTGGACCATAGCAAGCTCTGTCTCTTTCTTTACCCTCTACAACTGAATAAGAAGAAAGGTGGGATTCCAGGGAGCAGAAATTCTCCCGTCTCTTGGTTCATGTTTTTTCAAGTCATAAAATCTTCATATGTACATTCTTTATGTGGACGGGACTGATGCAAACTTTCATCAAAATTTGCTGACATCTGATGCTGATGTACAAACTGTTGACACTCTCCACAAGACACAAAAGACTGCAGTCTTAAATACAAACCCTGTTTTCTTTACTACTGCTACGTATTTGACTTTGGAGGAAAATGCGAAAGGGCTGACTTTTTTTTGTTTTTTAGTTTGTTTTGGAAGATAGTTTGTATGTAAATTGTAGAGGTAATGGAAGGGTCACATTGGATACACACTTTACGGGCAAGTTTTGGAAGCCAAATGCAATGTAGAAGGCCAACATTTTTATTATAAATTTTCTTGCCCTCAAATGGACTTTACTAAGTAGAGACCTCCCCCAGAATGCTGCCCTTGGTTAACCCCCCTCCCCCAAGCCTTGAAACAAAATGTTGAATAAAAGACTTTTACAATACTGCTGCTTGTATTGATCCTACATAAATATTGACCATGGAACAAGGAGAAAGGACAAACTTACCTGAATTTTACACTGGAGGTAATTTTATAAAGCCAACCAACAGAGAAATTATTATGCTGTACCCTGGTTATACTGGGTATAGCATTATACTTATTATATACTTTTCTCAGTGAATTGATTAATCATTTGGTCTGTAACTTATCATATACTAATATATATTTAACCAACCAGACACAATTTCTTAGAGCTGAGGTATACATATTCAAATTGTTTGTTTTGTCTGACTGTAGATAATTAGTTTGATGTCACAGAAGGATAAGAAAACCAGCAAATATTCACATTTAAGACACTTGAACCAGCTACATTTTGCTTTGTTTTAGCTCCGATTTAAATCTGTGAAGCAAAACTTTAAATTAATAATTCTAAATATGAGTTATTGAGGAACACGATCCAGCCATGCATGTTGATTTGTGCTATCGATACAGTACATGTTGTTACAGCATTATTACAGGAGAATGGCGTTGTGTCTTACGCGATGACGTTACGCGTACGTGCCGTACGCGCCCAACCAGTGTGTCTATATCCAGCGGACGTTGGCTCATTGTGTTTTTCTCGTCGGAGCAGAGAGCGTGGAGCTGTGAAAGGGCAAAGAGAGGGACCAAACAAGGCTAGGGTGTATTTTTTATATTTTGTTGAAAGTTTAGCACTATTGGGGCAGCAT